CCTATTGCAATAAAACGGCAATTTCATACTTTAACCCCTAATATAACAGATTCCCAAGTGTTATGATGTCTACACAAGACTCAACTTTACGCTAATCCCAAAATTTCGTTATTTAATTGCGAAACTTTTGGCAACTCTAACTATTAACGTGTTACGAACACGTTTATTTCTTTATACGTTATTTTTGACATAGAGAATGTTGTCGCACATATTCTTAGAGGATAGACACATATTACATTTTTTATTTTTTCAGAATTGCTAAGTTGGAGTTTTGTCTCTTATTTCTAAGCAGTTTTCTCCTGTTTTCTTACTAAATAGCAATTGAATTGCCCTGTAGCCAATGCCTCATAACCCCTTTTATACACATTTGGGTTCAGGTGATTTCATACTCTGCAATGTATTAATTAGTTGTTAATACGGTATAAAATAATATAAAATGTGACCTACCTGTGATGTCGGGTTCGCGCACCTGTATCGATATTCCAAGTAAACGTAAACCCAAATATCCGTAATTCCGAAAACCGATTTATGATAAAACCGTTAAATTTCAAGTAATTTTGATGCTTTTCACAAAGAAAACTAACTTTGGATTTGAAATATTCCTAGAAAAATACACTTGACATTACGAAAATTCGAGCTAACGTTATTTCGGGCAAATGTATTTTCTGATTTCTGATAGGTAATCCTAAACCGTAAAACGGCTATAACAATATTTTGTTAGTTCTTGATAACGTTAAATAAAAAACCATTTTAAAAAACGATTAAAATCAAAGCGAATCTATAGTTTCTTTGTTCTAAATATTTCAATCGCTTGTGGTTCGAACAATTGAATATGACCAGGGAGTTAGTGTAGAGCGGTTATTGCGGGAAAATCGACACATTACTGGACTGTAGAAGACACGTAACTGAAGATTGGATCACAGGCAGTTTCCACCATCCTTCATGAACTGAATAAAATAAATATGGTTAGGACGGTTGCTTCGCGATTGATACCTCATTCTTTCATCGAAAATCCCGTCGTGTTAATTGGTGCAAATTTGTTCTACAATAGTGCGAGGAACTTCGCAAAACGTATCTTAAATCCTTACAACTGACGAATCTTGGATTTACGGCTATGATCCTGTCATGAAGCAGTACATAATTCATACAATGAGTGTTTGAAGAGGACGAGTTGCCCACAAAAGCTATTTCTGCCGTGGGGGCGTAATATAAAAAAATTACAGCGGTTTTTTTTTCGACCCAGGGGACTAGTAGCAGTAGTTCCGCTATAAGACTGTAGAACAATTATTAGTAAACGGTATTGAGAAATTTATCTGCCTCAAGCTTGCCGGGAGTTGAATAGCAGTGCCCAAGGAGCGGTGTCTGTGGCATTCTTTGTCTCCAAGACGACGCGGATGCTCACACAATTGCTAGAACCATTTGACTGTTTGACAACTTTTGGGGTACAAATGTTACCCCCTCCTCCGTACAGCCCAGATTTAGCCCCATGGTATTTCTAATTTCGAAAAGATAAGTTTTTTAATTGTTTTCAAAACTGGTTCACCCGAACGCATAAGTGCATTGGGGTTGGAGGGGAATATTTTGAAAAACTGTAAATATTTTTTGTCAAAATCTAATTATTTTTAATTTCATTCATTATTTTTGGTACAGCTTATGTAGAGTGTTTCAGATTATATCAACACTAACAAAAAAGGATTCATTTAGGAGATGGCTATTCAAATTCCGTCTGAACCCTATACACTGAACTACTAATATTTACATACTTACTAAACCTTAGTCAGGCGATCTCAATTTATGGTAGTGAGAATTTTCTTACCTCGAAGGCTACAACGAGCATGAACTTGTACCACATGAGATGCCAGTAATTAATGTTGGGCATGTATGAGTTTTCAACAACTTGCATCATCCTGCGTGACTTGTAACGGCGACTGTACATATCTAAAAATATTTTTTTTACATATATATAAAGAAGTATTAAACTATTTTTATTTACTCAAATGTCTAGAACTGGTACAAATAAATTATTGTAACATACGTATGTACATAAAAGATCAGTACAAAGACGACATTCGTGCTCTTGTTATTATTTGACAGGTTACAGGGGAAGTTGTTTAACTCAAGCATTATTAAAGGTTTACGGATCAAGAAGCAATTCAATTTCAACATATATACATATTTCCTATGACGGTGAACAATGAGAATCTGAACCAGATCTGATTTTGAGGCATCCTCTATCAATTAGTATCCTGATGGTGGTTCTTGTAGTTCTATTTGCAGACGACACAACCATTGCGGTGTGTGATAAGAAATTAAAACTTTAAAACCCCAATATTTACAAGACAATGCATAAGTACTCCAAAAAATCCATCATGAATTCAGCATTCGTTGAAACCAATTTAGGGAGCTCAAACAAGATAGTTCTACTGTAATAGTTGAGAAGTTGGGTAGTCTGCAGACTATATTGGTTGCAGCATCAGGCCAAAGTTACCATATAATTGTAATTACTCCGGATTTTTATAGTATACCAAATTTTAAGTTGATTGACAAGTGGAAATAAATATTCTTTTATTAATAATATAATAAATTAATAATATTCCTTCTGTGATGGATACCACTACACTACAGCTCTTTTCTGAGCTGACGATCTATAAACAGCGGAAGAAATGTTCATAAAACATATCTAAGATTCGTCACGATTAAATTAGCATTCAAATAAAATAAAAAACTGCTTTGAGTTCAATCCATACAAACAGTCACACAGATACCAGACAAAGGCTTCAATTTCCCCGCGCTGAGGAACTGCTGGAGGTAAAAACTATCAAGGATTTTCAGAAAAAACCAAGCAGCTTGTGAGTAGCTTTTTGCGAATGGGCTTATCTTTAATACATCGAAGTCTAACTTTAGGTTGTTCTCAGGAAGAAATTCAAAACATGGCCAATTGTCAGACGTATCCTCAGGCTAAGTTTAGCAAAATAGCCCATTATTGGTCTCTATGATCAAAGATTTGCAAATTCTTTGTGTATAACATTATTACGTATTCACCTCGTTCGCCGAATAATCCGTTCGGGGATGTGCGATAAATAATGAAACGCGTATTTACTGACCAACCGAGTGTCGCTGTACCTACTTGTGGGTGTGTCGAAATCAACTTATAACGGCGTTGGCGATTAAACACATGTACAACTATAATATACATCAATTTTAAATTGCACTATTGTGACACACCTAGTTAATATGAAATGAATTATTCTGTTATATAAGTATTCCATTCAATGAAAGTAACAAGATATGAGCAATTATTAGTATTATTAAAATATACTAATGCAAAATATAGAGAATCTGACGAAATATTTGAAGACGTGTATAATTCGTCATGGAGGTGGTACTCGTTCGGGGGTTTCCTACGTAAGTGCGACTGCCGATGACGCGAATGACGATGGTATGAAAACGGTTTATTCGCGTAATCGGCATTCGCTTTCATGTGGGAAACCCAGTGTTCGGGCCCTAATAAAGAAAATAGAGAGAAATCTTTCGCATATTGAATGACCATTGTACTGTAATGATCGGAGAATATTACTTTACAACATGGTCAATGCATATTTGTAGGTAACATCATGGTGATAAATATATGTATATTATAATTATAAATGTTTATCGAGGTCTAAAATAGATCTATTATTTTATGTATATTGGTTGTGCTAACACAAGAATATGCATGGTTTTTTAGAGTCTAATAGCAATATCAACTAGGATTCTAAGATGTTTATGAAACGGTTAGAAATATTGAACAAGAAATTATGACAAATGTAGTAACGTCTTATTTAATACATATTGACAATAATTAATAAGTGAAAACAATAACTGCAACAGGGACCACAACTAACATAACAAAGAGCAAGAACGAACAACTAAAACTAGTTGATGTAGATGAAAAAAAAAGTGACTTATTTTTTTTAATACGACGATTATCAATAATTTCCACAGACATCATACTGGCGGATTGAGAATAATTCAGACTTACTTATGTTGGCACTTGAGGAATAAACGTACTTAAAACTGTAAATCAGTAAATTTCATATACACTACAGTACATAACAAAAAGTCAAGATGTCCACCTCGAAAATATTATCTTGTCTGTGATGTCAACTTATGGGATATTCATAATTTCCGTCTTGGTTATTAGTTTACTAGACATTACAATAATGGGCATGCTTGTATCCTCTTTAAGTTTCGTAATATCTGAGGATTAAGTATGAATCTGAAATCGATCTAATTCACGTACTTGGAAACATACAAAATTCTGCAGTGGACCAGTGCGGGTAGAGTTTTCGGTTAATGCGTTTACCAGTCATGTATTGTTGCCACTCAAAGGCAGGACTTGGTACAACATCTGGAGAAGGACGCATACTTCCTTTTGTGAAGTCCATTACGCTAGTAGCGTTGTAAAAGTCCTGTGAACATAATAATAAATGACAGATATGCTCCGCCTTCCTACCTCGCACACACACATGCGAAGCATATCACACATTCGACAAATGCGACATTGCTTGTTATTGTTTAGTTGATTTTCACATATCGCACTGCTGTTACAATAATGTTGTAACTCAAAATATGTGAAATTTAATATTATATCATTAATAAACGTAAAATTAGATTCTCTACACGTCAAAAAAACTGTCGTTAGAATATTGTAAGAAATTAACAAAATATATCCACTTAACTCAAAATGAGACACACTTTATGTGAGCTAGTTCTGGCCAAAATAATCCTTATTAAAAAATATTAAATTATTTTTTCTATTTTATTTTTAAATACATTAGAGAAATTGTTTAAGTGTCTGTAATGAACTGTAACATACATAAATTTTATTGATTTTTTGAGGGAAGCGAGTAATTCGTTTTTCATCAATTCTGAGAAAGTCCACTTTTTGAGCTACACAGTGCGATATACTGACAGGTGCGCTATCTTTATTATTTTTAACAATTATTTCCGAAATATAATATTAATATATATAAGAATAACACAATTAGTAAAAAGCAAGTCGTACACTAAAATATTAGGGTTCACCATTGACTTTATAATTGTAAGTCAATGGGGTTCACTATACGTATACAGAGATATATGCAGTCAGTCATAGCATCACAGGATGCTTTGGATTATACTAAGAGTGAAATCATATGCTTATAGCACACCGTCAGAGCTATCGAACTCAAAATGTACGTCTTCCAAAACTTGTACTTACTATCGTGTATTTCGTTGATTGAGAGACTATAGGAATCTTTTTTCTACCTCGAGTTTTTTTGGGTTTTGCTCATAATTTTCTTTATCGATCGAGGCAGAAGGCTAAATGCTACTGATGAGGACATTAATGTTAAAATCTATTTCATTTGTAAGCGTGTGCAATTCCTTTGAATCAAACTCACAGATTCTGGAAGCGGCAGGTTCTTTTAAAGGCAGATTCTTTAAATGGCAGTTTCTGTAAATGTCGTAATTTGTACAATCCGCCGGGCTAATAAATTGGGATAATATTATTTGATCCTCAAAGAAATATTGATTATTGTATATGATATACAATAATCAATATTATTATATATTAGTTGATCTACGAATAATTTATAAATTAACTGCATTCAAGGTAACACTATTATTATGTTTTGGTATTAAAAAATAAGATGTGACATTTTTTTCATTGATATTTTCTTTTAACGTTTGATGACATTTATAATCAGTATATCTTCTAATATTGATCTCCTAACAAATCTTGGTTGTTTGGTTGCGCATGGGTAGCGCCCTCCATTCAATAGGTTAGGTTAGTACATGGACCCCCCGAAGGGGTTCCCACCTTGTGGTGGCGGGGGGGCTCTAGTAGTCGTGGTCGATTTCATCCCACGTTGAAGCTAAGAGGAACCCACGGGGCCGGCCGATGGTGGTAGGCTGGCCCGAGGAGGAAGGAGGTGGTGGGCGCTCCAAGGGACTCTCTTCGGAGAGTCCGCGCGGATGCGCGTTAGGTGTTGCGGCGGAGCCTGCCATGAGATCGGCCACGGGGGCTGAGGGAGCAGCCACTGAACTTCACAGTTGAGTGGATGTTGTTCTGACCCCCATGGTCCCTGGTAGCGGACTCGGGGGAGTTCGTGGCCCAGCATAGAGGGGCCCGGGATGGAAGGCTCGTCTGGTGTTCGGCGAGCCTACAGCGGAGAGGAGGAACACTCCGGGGGTTTAGAGCGGTCGGGCTGCTCCCCTTCAGGGTTCAGCGCAGTCCCACGTAATCCCGGCTCTGCCCCCGCGGGACCGGGGTATCTGTAAGCAGATTTCCCTGGATTAACAACAGGATAGTACATGAACTCGCGGTAGAATGCGGAAGCGTCCCCGCGTTTCTGTCACAAGGTGCATGGAGGAACATCTCCGGAGTTTTAGTGGGTAGGTCTCTCGTAGAGAAGAAGAGTCCCACATAACTTCGTGCCTCTCACGGGTGCGGGGTCTGCGTAACGCATTTCTCTGGTTAAAAAAAAATGTTATTACATGAAAAAGCAGCTTGAGCCAGCGAATGTGTCGAAGCAGCGGCTGGCGAGTACAAGAAGCCAATTTGCTTGCGAACATGTTTTCAGGTCAAACCGTATTATAATTAATACATATTAATATACAAATATAATCAACATTTAAAAATAAGTATCTAAATTATATTTTTAATGCTCATTTGTCTTAGTTTTCAGGCACAATGTAAAACTATCAAAGTTAATTTATACAAATCAAACATTTGCGTAACTCAGAACAGATTAAAATATCCATCCATTTAATTTATTTTATGTCTCAGAGAAAGAGAATCAATCGTTAAAAAAGATGACCTTTTAGATTTTTTGCCTGCTGCTTTTGCAAATTTAAAATGATCATTCAAATACATGCCAAATAAACTACACGTTTTACTTATGAACCAACTAATATGCTCAACTAGCTGTGTTATAATATTATTAATAATAATTAGATTTGAATTAAACGCATACCTACCTACCAAACTGTTGAGTGTAAAATAATAATCGATTGTAAATTTTGCTAATTTAGAATCGATTATTATTATACCCACCATTTTGCGTACATACATACTCGTATATACGCAAAATGAGTCCGCGTGCTCTTGGGAGTCATTTTTACTAATTCGCTAAATGTTTTACCCGAGTGACTCTGGGTTCGCATTAGTAGTCATATACCATCCCATATATGGGAGACCTATACGTGTAGGTATATTTAATTTTCGAATATATTTAATAATTCAATGCGTATTTTTTTATTTAAAATAACAATAAGATGTTTGTATTGCAGATCAAGTAATGTTTATAAATAATAAAATTAAAAATTATAAATATTGTACATAATTATTCCTCCATAAATTTGGTTAACAAATAGCGCTAACTTCCTGTAGGCATTGTTATGTAACAGATATCGATTTTTGTCACTGTGAAAAAGATTGGCGAAATGTGAAGCGTGACGCGCACGCGCTCTCTATCTTTTTGTGTGGTATCGAAAGAATCCTTGACAAGTGTTCCTTAAGATATTCAAGTGACTATTTCTGCCTGACTTTCCCACGTTAATTGTAAACTGAGGTAGCCGTTTCACAGTTTTTTTATGTGAAACACTGTTTCACGTTTTGTTTGTTTCACTATACATAAACTGTTTGAAGAATCTAATATTTAAAGAATCTGCCGTTAAAAGAATGTCCCGTTTTCAGAATGTGCCATTCACCGAAAAAAGGCAGACGAGAGGGTACCCGACGAGGCTTAAGTAAAATCTAATACGTACATACCGATGTATTAAACAGAGCCATGGTGTAGTCAGCAAAGTACCTCGTCCCAGGAAAGAAGACCCTGTGCATGATTCGCGGTAGTAGATTGCTAAGGCGGGACAGCGAGACGATCTGCAAGTGATGTCAATCATGCAATGGCGACCGTACGCAATAAGATAGATACATTCACTGTTAGTTACTAGTGTCATTTGACAATTTTTGTTATTGTTTCATGAACTCACGTGAATGCTGTAAAATTCGTTATTGAGTTCTCGCTCACTTAACACTAAAGATATTAATGGATAAAACCGGTAATCGAAGTATGTTGCTGGTTTTGATTCAAAGACAATCATTCAAATCTATACTGTAGCCGACCTTTGCAATCGAAGTCACGTTGACATGCAGTTGATCGCGATTGCACGCATTAATTGCAGACATGCAAACCATCTGTTAGCAGTCAAATGCCTTATTTCTGAAAAACTGTACCTATTTTGTTTTTTAACACATTGCTACTTACAATATTTCCTAACAGTTGTTAAAATGTTTCTAAAATTCAAATCAGACACAAATGAAATGGAGCCCACTATTAACGAAAATCGTGACTTACATTGCACATGCTGACAAGGTAAGGCATAACGAAAAGCACACGCTGCCACGATCCCATTCCCCATGTCTTGATCGGCAGCGGTCGCCGACTATACAGCAGAATCTGCTTGCACCAGCTTCTGTAAACGCCAATACAGTTTACGTAGTCGCTATAGAGCATCTACGCACCATACTTCGGTCTATAACACTAAACTAAAAAGACAAACAATGTGGAACCACAATGAGACTACAGTTCCTGAGATAGCTGTGCGTTGCGGGAGGGATGGCATTTTATGTAAGGACTGCACACGAGATAGTTATAATAATAATAATCCTTTATTTTCTTAACACAGTTTAACATAGTTTCTAGTGGCATGAGTCTCCTTTTAAGCACATTATAATTAGAATTTTAATAACTCCCAGCCGATTTCGGCTATGGCGACCACTTCAGCTCCGATGTAGGCGTCGTTCGTGGGGTAGCATATGGCTTATGTAGGGCTTATGTAGTCAATGTTCTGGGCGAAGGTCCTCGCGCACTGTGGGCATGTGAGTACACTATTTGCAAAATTATAACTGATTACCGCAGATGGTCGGGTTTTCAGTCCGTTACGCTTAAAATCAACTTCGCGCCGTTCATTCTCAAACTTTGGTGTTGACTAGTACCTACCCTCCGCTCCGGCCGGTTGGCAGCCCGCTGCTCGGAATGCGCACTTCTTCATGTGAAGCTTGTTGTGTGTATTTGTTCATATAATAATACTTATGCCGGGGAAACCCCGCTCTTCCATAACAATATTACATAAGCTAAGGTGATAAAAGTACTATATTTTTTATTATAATTTGTTAATTAAAACATTTTAACACCAAATTATAGTAACGTGATATAGGTTACTGTGGGTTTAATTTTAAAAATGAAATAAAAACCAATGTTTTTTATCATCCAAGGATGATTTTATACTTTATGGTTTAAGTCATTTATTTCTCATGACAGAATACAAGCATTCACTTACAATGCGAAATACTATATAAATAAGCTTACAAAAACCAACGAGCATTGAAAGATAGTCACATTTACACAATGCTGTTGCTTAGTATCAATTCGCTGACACGTGCCTTTTGTCTGCTCACGATGAATGAAGCTCTTCAAAATTTGCAAATAGGTTTCACTAACATGAAGGTATGGTCGCACGACTCTGGCTTGATGTTAAATGCCAATAAAACTAAGCTTATGTATGTGACTTAATCCCACAATAGAGAATCAAGTGTAAAACTTAAACTCATTGCACGTGAACATAAATGTCTACACTCAATAAATATGAAATCTCACTAAGCCCTTATATAGCACTTGTGGATAGTCAAATGCACCTAGGACTTAGAATAGATAATCGTATGAAATGGACAAAACATATCGATACGGTTTGTAGTAAACTAAAAGCTATTATTGCAAAATTTACCATAATAAAAAATAAAATTCCTTACCCTAATTTACGCAACCTGTATATATCACTCGGATAATCAATAATTGGGTACGGACTTAGCAGCTACGGCCTAACTTGTAAAGGTCACATAAAATTTACGAAATACAATTAAGAATACTAAAAACTATAGTACCTTGTAAAATTAAAGTACAAAGACGATTATCGCTGTTTGTTCCACCACTGCAAAATACTCCTCATACATGAAAAATTGAAATTTAGGCTACTAGCCGAACACTTTTTTGATAAAAGTTTGCAATCTACATATAGTGGTGAAATGAAGACGCGAAATGTCTATAATAATGTCTATGGTAAAAATAAATTTATATATATATATATATATATATATAATACCTTATCTAATAAACGAAACTCGCGTCAACGGCGCTTGCGTTCGGACGTTTTGTCGCTTATTCGATAAACAGTTTTCGATCTACCCCCATGTTTAAAGTGAAATTTTTGTGTGGTGAAAATGAGTGATGGAGATGAAGATGATGGCCCGGATTTAGCATATCATCCAGATATTTCTACATAATGTACAAAAGACATAAATAGAACAATTTTGGGTTGTTCACCCCACTCTCAGGAGAATGAAGAGAACACAACTAACTTTGAGGTTATGATGATTGAGTCTTGCACTAACAAAACATCTTCGAGGAACAATAAAAAACATATAGAGAAAGAATCTGGGGCCTTACAGGACCCCGATAATGAAGGCTTGTGGTAAAGAAAATAGCCAAACCCAGAAAAAATAAACATCTCACTTCTCCAACCACTGCGGAAGAAATGGATACTGCTAATGAAAATTTGCAATTCTTTGAAGTGTCTGTGAATGTGAATTAGGTATGGCCAAACTACTAAAAAACGAAAATGTTCAACAAATTCTGAAGATAATCTATAAAAGTCTTATTAGAATACAAAGGACTTATTAGATTCAAAACAAAAGAGACAGCAACTGCATTCATGAGGAACGACCTTATTACCAAAAAACAGTGGGTGTGCCAAAGTACTAGTAAAGTTTCATACACCTATGGTGTAATAAAGTGTAATTGATATAGATATAGAAGAGAAAGAAATGTTAAATTTATTCCAAAGTGAAACAAATTATTTCTGCAAAAAGATTAAGTAAAAGAGATGATGAAGGTAATTGGGTAAAAAGCGAATCTATTCGTGTTTGCTTCATGGGACCTATCCTCCCTCAATTTGTGGTAGCATATGGATGTCGGATGAAGATTGAATCCTTTACATTTCCGGTCACTCAGTGAGGCAAATGCTGAAAGTATGGCCACATTAAACGGTTTTGTCCCTCTAAAGCCGTCATATGCCCAAAATGTGGTAGTAGGCACGAAAATTGTGATACCAACAAATATAAATGTGTAAACTGTAAGGGTGAACATATGTCATTTGTCAAAAGTATGCGCCCAGCATTCTAAAAAGAAAAAACTATTCGGCGATACATGTCTGAACATAATTGTACATACAAAGTGGCCATTCAAAATTTAAATGAATTGGAGAAACAACAACCAGATATTCAAGACTTACAAAGAAGAGAGGGAACTGGTAACACACTACAGCAAGAACCATCCACTCCATTGACATCAAATTCAGAACCTACCAGAACACCATATAGAGATGCATTAAGGAAAAATACTTGTACTCAATCTCAAATGAGAAACATCAACACAAGTAACAGCGGCCACCCAGCTCCCTCGGTACGCACAAATCTTAGAAATTGGTCTAAACCCAAGAGACAGACTCGAAAAAACAAAGGAGTAAGAAATGATTTCTATCTAACTAATAACAGCGGTGATGAAACTACATCCTTTTCTTCTAGTGATGCTGAGGTCAGTCATATGGGAGTGCATAACACACCAATAAGGAAGTTTCTACTAAAGAGGATATGGGATAAAATTATAGATATAATTTTTCATCAAGAAATTTTAAATCCAAATGTGTTTTGATATGTAAAGTTATATGAGAGAAAATTAAAAAAATTATACAAAAGCATACTATTAGCCGAACCTTACTGGAATTGTTCGAATCAATCCACGGATAAAAATTCGACATCAGTTAGTACACCAAGACAACTCAATATAATTCAATGGAACTGTCATAGTATAAAACAAACTCAGAGACCTTGACGTCCATTTAATTCGAGGTAAAGTGCACATTGCACTCCTCAGTGAAACGTGGCTCGACCCAGAAGATCCATTTGGGTTAGGACAGTATAATACTTTTAGAGATAACAGGGAGGACTCCTACGGTGGGATTTGTGTGTTAACTCATCACTCTGTGGCACAGGTAGACTTTACTTCCAGCAATGCTAACATACAAATAATTATAGTTCAAGTGCTGAATGTACCAGGAATCAAAAATATAATTCTGGTGTACTGTCTTCCACTTAAATCGACTAATCAAAGCGATTGGGAAAATATCTTTCGATTGTATGGGAGCGAAACTATTATTGCGGGAGATTTCAACGCACGCCACGTCCTTTGGTCACATAAGATTGATACACGAGGTCGACTTGTTTATGATGCAATTTTTGAACATAACTTTATATGTTGTATGTGAATCTGTTAGAAAAAGAAATAACTCTTTGTGAATTGAATAACTGTATAAAACGAAAAGACTACCCCTGGTGTGGATGACTTCTCCTACTCCATGCTATTTTAATTTTAATTTGCCAGATTCTGCCAAAATATTTTTAATTAATATTTTTAATTTAATTTTAAAAAGAGGTTCCTTTCCTAGCCAGTGGAGAAATACTAAAGTAATTCCAAGTAATTCCAGGTCGTGTCCCCAACTCGCTATCATCGTTATTAGTATTCGATGTTTATCGTGGCGATGGTATCGTTGAACTGGATTATGTTGGAAAACGATGTGCCAATACGGTGAGGCTGAAAATCAGTACCGCGAGGCATACAGCCACAAGGATTATACTGAGCCTGTTCCTTCCACGCACTGTTGTTGTTCCCACAATATTGTTATATTATTATGTTCTGTACGTATACTGTGTGTGGTAAATAAATGGTTTAAATGTTACGCCCTATCTCTCTGATGTCTTGCCCGTGCAAACTCTTTTATTTCATCCTTATGAAAAGAATTGAGTGGCACGTGGAGAGTCGAGACTTATTATCTCCTTCCTCAGTTGGTTTTAGGAGAGCTTGTTCTAGTCTGGATTGTCTTTCAAGAATTGTTTCAGATATAACTTTGTGTTTCTCGCGAGATAACTTTGTGTTTGTGTTTTTCAACTCTGGCTTGCTTTTTAGACGTGTCTAACGCTTATAACAATGTTAGTATCTCTTCTCTGGTAGAAGACCTGAAGGGTATTGGAATGGGGGGAAGAATCTGTCGATTTATATGGAACTTCTTGACTAATAGAATATTGATGGTGCAGTTATTCGGTAACACTTCCTTTAGTAGGCAAGCTAACAGAGGCTTAGCCCAGGGCGACCCTTTGTCACCACTACTCTTCAATATTGTCACCATGCAGCTAATAAAAATCGATACGGAAGTTCAAGTCTGCAATACGCTGATGATTTTGTAGTATATAAGACTGTATATAATAATGAAATCCAATCTGTAGTTAGTGATATTAGGAATGTAATATGTATTTTTGCGGAGTTGCTGGGAAATATTGGACTATCTATATCAGAGGAGAAAAGTAAAGCCTGTTTAGTTAATAGATCCAGGAGAGAATTTAATTTAGGATTAGACATAGCTGGTATAGTAATAAATAACAATAAAAAAAATTAAATATCTGGGCTTTTGGCTAGACTCCAAGTCCTTTGGAACTCTCACATAAATGAGTTATGTCAAAAGATTTATAAATATCTTAACATTTTAAAAGTACTCGTAAGTAGCCCGTGCGGCGTTCTCCCTAAGTTTTTTTTTTTTTTTTTTATTGTGACTCGGCAAAATGACTGCACCGCGCCTGATGGAAAGTGCGAATACAGTCCAGAGATGAGAGTAACGGATGGAAAACACAAATATCTTCACTCCGTCACTATCATTTTGCCGGTCTGGCCAAATGCTTCTTCACACTACGTTTGAAGGACCCGATGTTATAGAGGGGAGGGAATACATGCGCCGGGAGTTGGTTCCACAATTTGATGGTTCGGCATAAGAACGAATTGCCAAACTTTTTAGTGCGGGACGGTATTAAACTGACCGTCCAACTGTGGCAACGCAGTCCGGCACGGGTGGTCCGCTGATGGAAAGGAGAGGAAGGGATAAGGTTGAATAACTCTTCAGAGCACTCACCGTGGTACAGGCGATAGAATACGCTAAGAG